AAAAAGAAAAAAATAAAGTCTAAATTTTGGGTGCAAAATGAAACGAGATTACTCGAGACTTTTGAACAATATTTTATCAAAAGCTTTCATTGTTTACTCTGTCCTTAACCATATAAATTGTGAAACTACAAACATGTCTTTCAGTAATTTAAAAATATTTTCAGGTGAACTACTAATCAAGAATTAATTTGGATTTCCTTTGAATTATTTAAAGCTGAAAATATCAAGTCAGATGAACAGGAAACGTCAAGTGACACATTACAGCTCAAGTTATTTTTATGAACATTTTAAATAACACATATTTGCAACTTTCTCCTTCAGGCTTCAGAGTTTACATGCGAGTTGTGTCCCTATGAGATGCGACCCGACACCAACCGCACTGGCTGTGTTCCGATTCCCATCATCAAGCTGGAGTGGCACTCCCCCTGGGCCGTCATCCCCGTCTTTATCTCCATGCTGGGCATCATCGCCACCTCATTCGTCATTGTGACTTTTGTTCGGTACAACGACACGCCCATTGTCCGAGCATCTGGGCGGGAAATGAGCTACGTGCTTTTGACTGGAATCTTCCTGTGCTACGCCATAACGTTCCTGATGATCGCGACACCGGATGTGGGCGTGTGCTCACTAAGGAGGATTTTCTTGGGCTTGGGGATGTGTTTCAGCTATGCTGCACTGCTCACAAAAACAAACAGGATACATCGCATCTTTGAGCAAGGAAAGAAGTCCGTAACAGCGCCCAGGTAACAAAGACAGTAAAGGCAGTTTTTAGACAAAAACACATATTGCATCAAAACAAACTGAACTTCTAACTTCTTTTTAATAAGTTACTTGTGGTCATTACTCTTTATTTTTTATACATTATACAAATTATGAGCCCACATTCACGTAATGTTTTATTTAGTTATTGTGACTCTTGCAGGAAACATTTAGATGGCTCAAATGTTAATGCAGGATTTAATCAAACTGAGACTTACTGTTCTCCACATCTGCAGTTTGTCCTGTAAAATCCAGCTGAAGGATTTTTTATATAAGCTCATTTTTCTTAATCGTTGCATTATTCTGCAGTAGAAATAATCAAATTTTCTTTTTTCTATGCTCCTGTAAAATTTCACCACAGCTGAGCCTGAGGACTGGATACTTTTATCTCTTGCTTCAGAATTGTCATCTTTCCCCTGAACGTCACTTTAACATTGTCGTTTTCTGAGCATGTGTAGCTGATTGTAGGAGTCATATATATTTTATTAAACTGAAGTCTGCATGAAAAGCAAGCTTAGTATGCTCTCACTTTTTACTTGTTAAAAAGTTTTTTCTACAGGCCTAATGAACATTTACCTGCTATTAATGCTGCATCGCTCTCATATCTGTCTCTCTGCAGGTTCATCGCTCCAGCCTCCCAGCTTGTCATCACCTTCTCCCTGATCTCCGTTCAGCTCCTCGGTGTCTTTGTCTGGTTCACAGTGGACCCTCCCCACACTGTAGTGGACTATGGCGAGCAGCGGACCCAGGACCCCATTGCAGCTCGGGGAGTCCTCAAGTGTGACATCTCGGACCTGTCTCTCATCTGTTCCCTGGGTTACTCCATCTTGCTCATGGTGACGTGCACGGTTTATGCCATCAAGACGCGAGGTGTGCCCGAAACGTTCAACGAAGCCAAGCCCATCGGATTTACCATGTACACCACCTGCATCATCTGGCTGGCGTTCATACCAATCTTTTTTGGCACGTCACAGTCTGCAGAAAGAGTGAGTAGCTCTATTTGAATACAGTCCTCATTAACAAACAGGATTTTGCTATTATTTGAATGTATAGTCACACTCATGCATAAGATTGTGAAGCAATGATTTTGCTGCAGAGCATTGCACTGTAGTTGAAACAAAAGACTAGTGGTTATAATGTTATGGCTGGTTAAATCATGTTTGACTGCACTGATATGGATAAATTCATAAATCAGGGTATTAACAATATATATTGGGGTAAAACCTTCACCTTTAAGTTTTCAGCTTGGATTTTAGTTTTCGAGTCAGACGTTGACATTTGGCAGCTGTAACAAAACGTGTTTTTGATCCCACCTTTTCCATCCTTTACGACTACAAATCACATCTCTTTCTGTCGAGGCACACTGTAAATGTGTTTTTCCAGTACTTTTACTATTGACAAAGAGTTCAGCATCTCCTGACAATTTTCTATGAGTACAAAAGGATTTTCTGACTGCTGAATAATTGATATAAGTTCAGGTCCAGGCTTTCAATGGGTTGCAGTGGATATCTCTCTTTCTACTTGTAGTTAATTTTTGTATATAATGATTGGAATAAAATGTTACGATAAAGGTGCATTGATGCATTCATGCATCCTAGGGTTATATAAGGGTTGATGTGTTTTTATAACATTTAAGATACACCATTGGTACTCTATTATATTATTTTCATGAATGATACAAATTAATGCAACAACTCTAAACCTAAAAAATGGTTTAATCATGGTTGAAGACAATACTTATATTTGGTTTATCAATCTCAAATCCTGTGTCTGGAAATGAGGAGTTAATCTAGGTTATATGGTGCATAACAATTCTTAATAGAAGCAAGAAGTTGTTTTATGATTCTCCTGTAAAATCTAACAAGGTACATATAGAATACTTTATTGCCCCCTGCTGAAGGTAAAACGATGATAATGGTTTTGCTTGTGTCTGTGTGCATGTGTGTTCTTAGTATGTAAAATAAATAGCAACATATATCTCATATGCCAATGGATGAGTTTATTTAAACTTTAAAAAAATAATCATCAGATGTACATCTACAACTGTCAATCCATTCCAGGTTGGCTGCCTAAGTGACCTTAGCAAACACTGATATGGTCATAAGTCCGTGGAATTTGCACATATTGAGCTAAACCTTAGTGTGGTAGTGGATGAGAGCCATTCCCAACACATAGATGGTAAGTGGTAAATTGACTGTCCTTATATAGCACCTTTATATCTTATCAAGATACTCTAAGTGCTTTACAACACAATCTGTGCCCTCATTTTACCCATTCATACAGCACTCTACTAGATCTATACAAAGACTAATCAGTGCCTTATCACATTCATACACTAATGGGACACACATCGGAGGCAATGAGGGGTTTAGTATCTTGCCAGGGACACTTGGGCATTCAATTTAATTCAATTCAAAAGTACTTTATTAATCCCAGAGGGAAATTATTTGTTGTTGTAACTCGTTATCCTCATTTCATTAAGAGATGTTATAGATACTGATGGCTGTAGGCAGGAAGGATCTCTTGTAAAGGTCCATCCCACAGTGGATCCTAAGAAACTGGCTGCAGATGCCGTCCAATCCGTCCACCCAGACTCGGCTGGCCTCTTGGTTCCCCTCGGGCTGTAGGACTGCCCAAATGCAGGGCAGAACTCCTCCCAGAATGATGGCCACTCCTCCCAGCAGTCTGCCGAGCTCCTTGTCGCTGTGAACAGCCAACTGTAGGTGCAGAGGGACGATCCTGTCCTTCCACTGGCATGAGCCGTGTTTCCTGCTAGTTCCAGGATCTCAGTGGTCAGGCACTCGAGCACAGCTGGCAGGTAGATGAGAATGCGTCCATAGAACATCCTTTTCAACACATTTGAGATTTGGGGCTGTAGTTGAGATATTATTTGAGCTTTTGAGATGTTGATCACCTGCTGTTGGTTGTATAAAACTGCCTTGTTGCCATGGTTATGCATCATAACATATGTCCAAAACTAAAATTAAAAGGTATGTGGCATCTAGGGCATGTGACTGCTGGTGGAATCAAACCCCCAACTCTTGCATTGGTGGACAACTGCTCTAACCACTCAGCCACAGCCGCCCAAGTGCCCGTAGGTCAAGTGCTAACTGATTACAGGATATATTTTTAAAACTTTGGCAATAACTATTCATCAACTGTACCCGTTAACAAATGTCTCATGACCCAATAGACTTGTACAATTTATTACTTTTAGTCAGCTAAATTCAAGATGGGTAGAGGCAGGGCAGCCAACCCAGGCCCCGAAAGCCCCAGATTCAATCTCCAGCCTTTCCCACATGTCGTAGTGTCTCTGAGCAAGACACCTAATCCCCAATTGCTCCCCGGGCCCTTACATAGCTGCCCACTGCTCAATCTGGGTGTAACTCAGGTGCGATGGGTTAAATGCAGAGAACCAATTTCGCTATAGTATTGTGAACATACGATGACAACACATAGCACTTACTTACAGTCAACCGACCTTAGGAAATACAGCTATAACTCAGCCAACTTTATAGATACTGAGCTAAAATTTGATGTAGTAGTAACCGAGCATCATCTTTAACTTAAAACTTTGGCGTTTCCTGTTCTACACTGTCTGTTAGCAAAATGTCTCATAAACTACTGAGTGGACATTGGATGTACATCTACAACTGAGTACCTTTTAGAGTCAACATATATCATATTAGCTAACAGAAAAATAGCTATACAATATCACATTCTGTTTTACAGATATTGAGCTAAATTTGGCACGATAATAGATTACGTCATCCTCATCACGTTCTCACATTACTGACAATCACCCGTTAGATTGTTAGGAACGTTATTTATAAGGTTTGTCCATAGCTCCGCCTTCCCATAAAACGTTTTTAGAATTCTGGCACGAAAAGACACAGCTGATACGCATTCCTTCAAACAATGCTAGAGTGTTAGTAGTGATGCCTTTTTTTTAATAATAACAATAAAGAGTTGTTTTTTTCCTGACAATGTTTTCCTTTGAGAGGCAGGCCCTAAAATAAGCCTTCACAAGATGTTTATATTAAATTCTAATGAACTTAAAGTAACAGCAAAGAAAAAAAGTGATATATTCAGCAATCCCACGCACTCCCTGCATGCATTAGATTCCTGTAATATCTCACACGTTCAGGTCTCAAGTCTCAAACCCAACAAGAAGGTGTCCTTTCATTTGAACGCTTTAGTAACATGGTTTTAAATGCACACAAATGTCAATAAAGCTAATCGGATTCATAACACCACACAGAGCGAGCTACTGTGTGCCACCAAATTTAATGCTGCAGTGAGTTATTGATTTCATTTCTTGATGGTGTGACTGTTCTGGTTTTAACAATGAAAACACTTCTCATACTTATGAGATTCATGGCAGAATATTGATTGCTGGTGTCATTTTTTGTATTTCTCAATGCTGAACACGTCTGCTTTCATAAAGTAAATGCAGATGGAGTAAACCAATACACAGGCAGGCATGAGTGTGTTTAAGAAGTCCCGTGTCCTCTTGTCATCACATATACAGAGTTAAATTTAGACATCTAAAGCTGTTTAGGAAGCATTTGTTGCTACATCCAGAAGTGTTTTTGTTCCATAAAATGCAGGTCTCGTGATCTTGCATGATCAATAAAGCCATGGATTGTGTCTTCTAGAGGGCTCTCAGTTACTGTTGCACCAGTTTTTAGCTTAGTTTCTGTAAAACACCCTGATATATAGCCATTTTTGTGTGTAATATAGCTATTATTAAGCTGTGGTGATCAGTTTGCTTTGGGTTGACTCCAAAAATAATAATTTGCAGATGTACGAATAATAATTACTTTTCTGTGAGTTTAAATAAATTATAGTGTTTCTTGAGATATTAAAGGTCGAGGTTCTTTGTCATTCGCACCACATGTGGTACATGTGGTGGAACGAAATTTTGTACACAGGGTCCCAGTTACATCCAACAAAAGTATAAATTGTAAAAGAAAAACAATAAGAAGATCTAAGATATGAACTAAAAAATAAGCTACTAAGAATACGCTAAGCACTAATGGTACAAAACAATACGCCAAACAGCAGCACGAACATGAGTCTGTGTGAGCAGATGAGTACGAATGAACACAGCAGCATGAGATCAGCAGCACATAACAATCAAGTGGTAGTGATTTTTTTCACAGTGATAAATCATCATTAGGGATTCATGTCATTCATTTTGCGAACAAACGCGCAGCGTTGACTCCAAAAAACAATGCCAAGGTTTGAGCGAAAGTTCCAGGAAAAGTTTATGTTGGGGGTGATGCTCAGCTACTACCACACCAAACTTTAGCTCAATATTTTTGAAATTGACTGTGTTTTAGCCATTTTTGTGTTTGCTAATATATTTTCTGTGTACTCCATATTACTTTGGATTGACTGTAAAAGTTAATAAGATGTAGATGTTCATTCAAATCGGTTCAGTCTCACACACAGACCAAAACATTGCTTCACCTTCAGAAGTGGGAAACGCAAGTAAAAACCATTACTGACTCTTCAAGTCAGTCCTTCCTCTTCCTCTAAAGGCAGTCGTCTCTTACCACTGCCTCTTTCTTCGTGTCAGTCAGGTAATTTTCATTTCTGCCTTTCCCTATGTCTGAGCCTGTTTGCCTTTCAGTGACGGTGCCAGCCTCAGTCACAATGCAAAAAGCTCACATCAAAGTGATCCTGTCTAATCACACAGGAACGAAATCCTACTTTCCTTGGCTGCTGCGTAGTATTATCTTGCTCATTCTGTCTTTTTCATAAAATACTCATTGCTTTTTTGGGCGGGGTGGTGGTGGTGGTAAAAATTTAAGTGATTTAGTTTGTCCCCTTTAGTAAATGACTGTTTTTATATCATCAGATCCACATGATAAAGTCTGACAGGTTGAAGATGATAATAGGGTCGTTTGTTTGCGTTCAACACATGGAAGCTTCATCTGGCTAATTGTTTCAAACAGGTCATCTCCTCACTGCTGGCAGC